ATGATCCGAAGAAAAAGAAGAAGAATGTCGACGTCATGCAAGATTCTGTTTGTTTTCCGGCAGGCAAAGCCGCCGCCGGCGGATAATGGAGTGAAGGGGAAATAAAATTTGCAAAGGACTAAAGAAAAAAGGGAAAATTTGTAAAAATTCTCCACCTTTTTCTCTTGATTTTTTTTCTGTACTACGGTTTACTTGTTATCCTCCTCCTGTTTTCACGCTCTGTCAGTCGTTGTTATTTGTGATGACTCGGAAATAGAATACGTTTGGTTTGGTGGAGAGAGAGAGAAAGAGACGGGGAGACTTGAGAGAATGTGTGCATGTGTTCTGTTTGAAAAACTCCGTTTAATGGATAATTGGGGCTCGGCTCGAGTTTGGCTTATTTAATAAATAAAAAACAGGCTCGGTTGAGTTGGTGAAAGTTCAACTTGACTTGACTTGACTTATTTAATAAATTTAAATTTCAAATGAATTGCTTATGGGCACGGAATGTTCATTCGCGATTCGCGAACAAGCCTAGGTAGAGTGTATATAAATTCATAAAACAATAATAAAAAAAAAGTAAATCGTTCGTGAAAACAAATTGGGCCCGCCTCACTATTAAACAAACTCGATTAAGTAAACAAAATAGTTGAAATGAGACTTTCACGAGTCGAACTGAACTTTATTCGCAAATAACTGAGTGAAAATAAACTAACTAAAGGTTTGAAAAAGAAAAATTAGATATTATAATATTGAAACGTTATACTCTTTAACTAGTAATATAAATAAAAACGTGATTTTTAATAGAATAAGTGTGCATTTTTATTATAAAAGTATCACATATCAACCCACTTAATTGTTGGACCGCCTTATACTATAATTCATACTAGTACTAATAATCATGTACAACATGGGTGTTGAGTTAATGAATATATGTGTAAAGTTATTTATGTCTAATACCAAACCTAACTCCGGAGCAAAAATAATATAAAAACAACATCACGAAGCATAAATTTTCGCCAGGGCCGGCTCCAGGGGGAGGCAACCTAGGCATGGGCCTAGGGCCTCCCTTTTATTTGGGGCCTCATATTTTTTTTTTTAATATTATGTATTTGTGTTGAGTTTTATCTATCTACATAAATGAGGCCTCATTATTTTTTTAATATTATGTATTTATGTTGGATTTTGCCTATTTACACAATATTTACACAAAAGAAGGGGTGAATAGCTAAATATGGACTTAAATCATTACACAAATGAAGGGCCTAATGGCAAAATATGTAGTTTGTGTGGAAAATTGAGGCTCTAAATATTTTATTTGTTTTCGTACGATGTTCGGTTAGAACAAGTTGTGTGAAAATAAATATTCTTTGTAGTGATATGATTTTTATTTTCTTGTCTTTAGTGTCCT